CCCCCCCCCACCCGAGTCCAAACACCCAGACACCACTGGTTGATAGAGGGGCGACGGCGGCGGCGCGGCGGTCGTTTCGTTAATAATGCCCTTGAATCTGCACACCCGTGCACTACAAAGAGTGCAAAAACAAAGTCACGTCTAGAACCCCCCCTCCTTAATTCTTTTCTTCTCACTCTTTAACCTCTATTCTAACCTCTATTCTTTCTCTCAGTCGGCTACTTCCTCATACTCATCCCTCTTACTCTCCTCTCTCTCTCTCTCAATTCTGGGAGCCAAAAACATAAAAAACACAAACATACCTTCTGAAACGGCGGTTGCCGCGTCCACGAGCTCTGCCACTCGTGCTCCTGTCAAACGGGCCTTGGATCTCTGTTTTGGCGCTTCTGGCACCGACTTTTGTGGTTTTGGCCCTTGCTTTGGCCCTTGCTTTGGCCCTTGCTTTGGCCCTTGTTTCTGTCCTTCTTTCTGTGACATGACTTCTTGTACTGTACCTTGTTCAACATGTTCCACCTCGAACTGCGCCAACTTGGCCACCAGACCCGTCACGTATGGGTCAGCCGCCGGGTTTGGTGGTAGCGGTTTGTGTCTGCCAAAAGTGATGCCCTCTGGGTTATGGAGGGGCGAAATTTGGCGGGTGATTTTTCTTAGCAAGGAGCTGCCGCCCATCTGCGAAGATCCCATGCGGTTGAAAAACGACACAAAAAAAACAATGCTATATAGCGAATACAGAAGAGATAAACGGCTATGACGACTACTGAGACTATTTAAACTAACTGGAGCACTTGAAGCACTTTCACTGTCACTGTCACTGTCACTTTCACTTTCACTTTCACTTTCACTTTTGTATACATATACATATATAAATGCGATCTTTTCGAGTTTAACCGCCTTGTGGAGCTGTAATGTAGTAAGCGCTTCTTCAACGGGGGGCTTCTCTGACCCGGCGCCTTTTATAGTCGCAGCAGGACCCCTAAAAAATTGGGACGCGACCTTTTTTTTTGAATTTTTTTTCTTTTTTCGGGTATGTTTTTCCCCTAGCGTTGTTGCCCCGCTATTTCTCCAAACACGCGGTAGTCCGGCTATGGAAGAGAACAAAGGCGGGCTAGAACGAAGAGCGTGAAAGTGTGGGGATCGGTGAGAATAGGCGGGGATGGAAAGTAGTAAATAACGGATGTTCAGATATGACTTTGCGACGTTGCATTAGGGTTTGTTATTTGCGCGTAAAAGGTTGAATTCAAGATGGAAAAGATAGGGATCTTAAAAAACACAACGGGGGAAAATCGATAAAATCAGATGGTGTTTCGTATACTGTGATAATCTCTATTTGTGTTCAGTCCTTGTCATTGTGCCAGCAAAAGCTAGCCTGTATGATTTAGTCGGTCAAAACTTGTACCCACTCATTGTGAGAAACTTGATCACTAGAAGTACCTTTATCTAGAGAAACATTTGACATAATTTGTTGCGCCCACGTGACCTTTTCGATCGATAACATATCTTTGAGCTGCTTAGGAAACACAAGATTTCATTTAAGACGGCTCCTCAAGACCATTGTGAGCTAAGGGTTCGCACTCGGTACGGAAAACTGCCCTTCGTTAAAGCACCGTTCGACGTCAGCCGTTGACAACTAGGTATTGTAGAAATCACAAGTTCTTGTTTATGATTAAAAACGAATTCTACCCGCGGAGGCTACTCTAAGCTACCCGTACGCAGCCCAAGTCCTGCCAATTGAGCGTTTAATTTGTTGTTGTCATTTTAGACGTGAATCATACCGCCCAGGGACTGGGGGAAGAATGACAAACCCAATGCACAAATCCATTCGTTCAAAATGCTTGATGATTTTTTAACTGTTTCGTATCATATGATAAGACGCTTCAAGAATTCGGCACGAATCCGGCACGAATCAAAATGCAAGTGCTTGCTTAAATATATGTTCGGATATGCCAATTGTGGATGGAAGGATTACCTTTGAAAATTGCATTCTCTTCGAGTAATATACATACTAAACACGTGAACGAGATTTTATAAATGCTACAATTCTTGGCCATTTGGGCGGTTTCCTGCTGCAACTCCAAGCGATAACGACGTTTACAGTGATTGACTCTCGTTAATTAGTGGAATCCAAGCTCGTATATGACGACGTGATCTGTGAATCTTTAAATTCAAGGCCGGAAAAGCCGGCCTTGTCGGATTCCGTCCCCAGTCCTACTGCTGTCTCACCCCATGGTCTGAAAACCCTACCACCGTCACCATTCAACGCTGGCATAAAAGTTTTCCTGCTCATCACTATACACGGGTGACTACCGTCCAATTCACTCTGCTCGAATTCGAAGTCCACTGTAACCACCATCGCTGCACTCCCCCACTATATTATTCCCCATCCGTCCACACCATGTATACCTATCTCTCTCTTTCTCTCTCTCTCTCAACTTTCACGTCTCTTTTCCCTCATTTCGCACTAAAAGTTCCCCTGCCCTTCAAATTCATAAAATATCTCCCGTATTACGAAAAGTCTCTCTATCACACTCCCAAAACTGCTCTATCGTCCTCTCGTCTAATTTTCCAGCCTTCCTCCTCAATCACACCCTACATCGCCACGGTGTGTCTCGTCTAACGGTCCATAACGTGGTCAATATAAGAAGCCAGTATATATATATTGATCAGCGTCGTTATAGGATACTTGTTAGATGAGCCGCGACCGTACATCATGATACAATATGTTGATGGTTGGTATATACGAATTATTATAAACTGTAGAAACGTGGGACACATGCACCGAATAAAACGGTAGTGTAATGTGAATTAATTTCGTGAAATTATTGACATATCGCGTGTATCGTGTGTATCGTGTGTTTACATTAGTGTTTGTCTTTTTATGCGTGTGTGCGTGTTTAATATGTGTATGTATATATATGTATATGGATGTATATGGACATTTGGGATCTTCGGTTCACAGTCCATACTGGAGAAACCCATACTGTCAATTTTGTCATTTTTGTCATTTTAAGATCTATAGGACACGTACGAGATGACATCCGTAGAATTAAGACTCAGTGCAGAAGATCCAGATTTATTATTCCAGTTTAGTTCGCCAATCGATCGGAACGCAAACAACAACGAGAATCGGATGCGACTAGACTCTTCCTTGTCGGAAATTCAAAATTGGGACCATCATTTAAATCTCACACACTCGAATGGCAACGGTCACGTGCTGGGGCCGAGTACGGCGAGTACGGAAAGTATGGCAAGTACGTTGCTAGAGGAAGAAGACGACGACCAAGAAGACGACAACGACTACCAAGAAGCACAGACTCTGTTTGGATCTGAATCAGCCAGCACGACAAGTAGGAACGAGCCTCACAACAACAGGAATGTCGCTGGGGTCGTGAACCCTGTTCAGCAACTCCAGGGATCCTCTTCCCATCAATATATGCGCGGTCCTTCTGCTGCTGCTGTTCCCGCAAATCGCGGATACGCTCATCCAAGAAACCCGTCCAGCGTTCATGTGCTTTCCAATTTCAACAACATTTTGTCGCGATCATTGTCCGCACACCAGCTTCACGACATCGAGCGCATGGTGGACGAATTCTGGCTTCGCGACTCAAAACTCACCGAAGACATGTTTGACGATTCGTCTGACGAAGAATGAACAGCAACTCTTCGCACCCTTTTCCCTCCAAACAGAATGACTTCAATCGTCCAACGTACTGCTGGCAATACGTTCGAATTCGCGACAACCTGATGTGAGTGTCACCATCGCACAAAGTGATAAAAACAATTCCACAACTCAATTCGCCTCTCACAACAGCTCCCGTAACCGCACAACTCGAGTATACTCGGCTTTTTATTTGTGCCGACATGCTGCTATAATTTCTATCTATCATCTTCTCTCATACTTTTTTTTGGCGAAGACTATAACGACATTTACTTTTATCTTAATTCTCGAGAATGGCCTTGTATTTCGACATGACAGCAGCGAGCTCGAGCAAAAGCTCGTCTTTCCGCTTCTCTTCACACCAGGAGCCCTTCACAGATTGCTGGACCACTTTAGCCCAAGTTTCGAGACTCCAGTTGAATCGAGTCTGCACGGCCACGTAGTTGTCAAGGATGTAGCCACCAAAATACGCAGGATCATCTGAATTTATAGAGAAGGGAATTCCTGCGTCCAAAAATTCTGTCAATGGCAGCTCGCGTACATCTTGACACACTTGCAATTTGACACTGGATAGCGGACACACGGTGCACATGATTTGCTCGCGGGCCAAACGGGCCATGACTTCTGGATCATCCTTGGATCTTACGCCATGATCGATTCGCGACACTTTCAACAAATCTAGCGAGTTTGAGACGTAGGAGGCAGCACCTTCTTCTCCGGCGTGTGCTGTGAGCTTGATATCAGGGTGGAAGCTGCGAGCGGTTTCGTAGCACTCGGTGAAAAGTTCTGGAGGGAACGGTTTTTCTGCGGAATCGAGACCCAATCCGTGCAGTTGCTGAGTTTCGAATAAAACGCGTGCGCTTTCCAACGTAGCCTTGCACTCTTCGACGGGCAAGTGACGCAGTAGACACATGATTAGCTTGGACGAAATGTGAAGTTCCTGTTGCGCTTTGATGCACGCTTTTTGGAAGCCCTTGACCACCGTTTCGATGCTTATGCCACGCGATGTGTGACTTTGTGGGTCGAAGAAAACCTCGGCGTGCTTTAGACCTTGCGAATGCGAGCGTTTGAAGTACGCCCAAGCCAGATCGAAAAAATCTTCTTCTTTCAATAGAACTTCACATCCAATGTAGTAGAAATCCAAGAAATCTTGTAAATCTTTGAATTGCTGGTATCTTTCCTCTAGTTCTGCAACCGATTTTGGGAATTGTTCTGGGAGTTTGACGTTGTTTCTGCGGGCCAGTGGGTACAAGAGATCGGGCTCCAGTGTACCTTCCAGGTGTACATGGTGTTCACATTTAGGTAGTTCACGCAGGAAATCGCGTAGCGTGTTGCTGCACTCGTAGACTGCCATTATAGGTTTCTAGACTCGATTTTTCTTGTGAAGAGGGAGTAAGCTAGCAGAAGTGGAAGTTCGTGCTTGCAAGAGTCAAGTTCTCGAGGTTTTGTCACTTATCTATAGCTATCTCTTCTTTATATCAAAAAATCTGCAAGGAAGCGATGAGCTAGATTTGTTAAACATAGTGCGGCTATGGAAAAAAAAGGAAGAGGAAAAGCAACGAGGAAAAGGAAACCTCGAAGCCTAAAGAGGAAAAAGAGTTACCGTTTTGGGAGTGCTCGAGCCTCGAGAAAGAGAGCCTCGAGAAAGAGAGCCTCGAGAAAGAAAGCCTTGGCGGCTGGGCGATCCTCGACGACAGTTTTGAAAGAGGCGACTGTGACTTGGTGGGAGAAGAGAAGGAGTGTGAACGGATTGTGAATGGCATTTTAGACCATATATTTAGGCTGTCACTGCTGCGAGACCCGTTGCGCAGAAAATGCCTTATTTATAGGAGGTTAGGGAAAATATGAATGACATCGTAGCGAGAAGGACTTTTGTGGGTATGAGAAATTTGAGAGCTGCAGTGTGTTTTGAGAAGCGTCTATGGCGATAGTTTGGGTCAATGGAATACCGAACGTTTATTGAGTCTCGAGTTACTAGTAGAGACGTAAATGCTCACTGAGTGATGATTGATAGCCATGAGGGCTATGGAGCAGTCTTTCAATGATCATGATTTCGATTTCGGGTATTCAAAAGAAGAGCGCATCGTGGAAGCTTGGGCCTACCGTTTTACTACTGTCATCAAGTGTTTACCATTTTTTCGACTATTAGAAGAACCCGCGCAGAACGGGTTTGAGTTTTTGTTGATTGACAATATGCTAGTGTTCCGAGGCTCAAGATAAGAAATTAAAAGCGCATTCGAACCGTCTATTTTAAGAGAGCATGTCAGAGGCCACTGTTGAGGAATTCAAGGAGTCGATTCTAAGAATGGAATCGGACAGATTCGGTTTTCTTGTGTAAGTGCCCGCTGTTTATGTGGTGTTTCGCTGATATGCAACTTGTTTGGGGGAATCAAAAACGGCGATTCACCGGCATTCAAAAAAACTGGCGAAATTCCAATCTCTCTGTATCTTTTTTGGTTTCCGACACAGCCGCTCTCTGTAATCTGCCTCATCAAAACTGATAAGCTCATCTTCCCGCGACAGGATCAAACATGATATCAGAAGTAAGTTGAGCTCGACATTCTCTCAAATGATTTTCAAAACACCCCTCGCTCTTGAAACAAGCAGGTTAACTCTTGTCCCGTCGATTCAACGCTTGGTTAACGTATCTATAGCTGTGAACTTGGTCTTTTTTTTCGTGACGCTGTCATCTGATCACGTGTGCGGCGATTTTGACATCAGATCTGCGAGTAAAAAGAACATCAAATTTGACACGAGTTGTTGAGAATATATCACTGCTCGAATTTTTCGAAATGGTTCTCGCATTCAAAGAGCCCCTCTGCTCCAAGTCGGTATTTATTTTTTTAGGATTGTTGTACTTGAAAATCACCAACGAGGAATTGAAAAAAAAAGGGTAATCTTCATACACTCACATAAATACAGAAAATACTTGGCTAAATCCCGATACAATACCCTTATCCAACCGTGGCCGAGACCCATCTTCCAAGCTAAGTAACTTTTAAATCAAGATCACGTGATCCCCATGTATTTGGCAAAATCACATTTCTTCCCTCCCGTAATCTCCAAACTAAGACCCACATTCTATTAAGGTCTCTCACACAATAGTCTTCAAATTCCCACTCTTATCTTCCCTAATGTCTTCGCCTCTCTTCTCTTCTCAACCACTTTTCACTCTCACATCACATGACCATATTTCTTTGCTTTTTTGACCGTTCGCTCGTTTTTCGTATAAAAACAGCCCCCTCCAAATCACTACCGACGAAATCTGTGCCCGTCGGAAAATATCTGTGGTTCAAAAAAATATCACTAGCCGTAGAATTTAGTGAACAGAACACAACCAAGTTAAAATCAAAGTAAAGAAAACTAAACTTGACGGTTCTTGCATCTTCGAGGCATAAAAGCACGAATAAGAGTGTGTTCTCAAAGTTCTACGAGGCTGGGAAGGGACTTATAAGCTAGCCAGAGCTTCAAAGTGTGCATAGGAATTTTCTCGGAAACCATAGCGTTTGTATAGCGTGAGATATCGAGAGAAAACCAGAAAAGTTGGACAATCGAGTAGAAACAGGGCCAAGACGGTTAGAAAAGACGAGATAATTGGGAGCTGGAACTGCCAACTGCTGCAAGTGTTTCTAATCCGATAACCACGAGAATCAGGAAACTTTTCGGATTCAAAAAAGGTCCTTTTCTCCTATCCTAGGAAGCAAAAAAAACCCAGATCTGGTGATTTGATCTTTTGCCACAGAACTGATATTTTGGCGTGATAAAAGCAAGGAGTGTGATCTCACTTTGCAAAATGAATAGTGCATCTGGATCGCAGCACCAGCTGGGATCTTCGGCGTCCAGCACGCGCGACGATTCCACCATTGTGGGACTACATTACAGAATAGGCAAAAAGATCGGCGAGGGCTCGTTCGGTGTCCTTTTCGAGGGTACCAACATGATCAACGGGGTGCCTGTGGCCATCAAGTTCGAGCCCCGCAAGTCTGAAGCGCCTCAGCTTAAAGACGAGTATCGCACTTACAAAATCTTGGCCGGAACTGCTGGGATCCCACAAGCCTACTACTTCGGCCAGGAAGGCTTGCACAACATCCTGGTGATCGATCTACTGGGCCCATCGCTCGAGGACTTGTTTGACTGGTGCGGACGCAGGTTCTCGGTCAAAACCGTGGTTCAGGTCGCCGTGCAGATGATCACGTTGATCGAGGATCTCCACGCGCACGACCTGATTTACCGAGACATTAAACCTGACAATTTCTTGATCGGTCGTCCTACCACCGCAGAGGCTAACAACGTACATCTCATTGATTTTGGTATGGCCAAACAGTACCGTGACCCCAAAACCAAGCAACATATTCCTTATCGTGAAAAAAAATCTTTGAGTGGAACTGCCCGTTACATGTCCATCAACACTCATCTGGGTCGTGAACAATCACGCAGAGACGACATGGAAGCTCTTGGACACGTTTTCTTTTATTTCTTGAGAGGACAATTGCCTTGGCAAGGTTTGAAAGCACCCAACAACAAACAAAAATACGAAAAAATTGGCGAAAAGAAGAGAGTCACCAATGTTTATGATCTAGCTCAGGGACTACCAGTGCAATTCGGACGTTATTTGGAAGTGGTGAGGAACTTGGCCTTCGAAGAAACTCCCGATTACGAGGGTTACAGAAAGCTATTTCTATCGATTCTTGACGATATGGGTACGGAAGCAGATGGCGAATATGATTGGATGAAGCTCAACGGCGGCAGAGGTTGGGATTTGAACATCAACAAAAAGCCTAATCTACACGGCTATGGTCACCCAAACCCACCCAATGACAAAGGCAGAAGGCATAGAAACAAATACGCACAGGCACAAGGCATGGATCCTCAACAGCAGATTCGCTACCAGCAACAGCAGCTGCTACATCAGCAACAACAACATCAGCAACAGCAGCAGCAGCAGCAGCAACAGCAACAACAGCAACAGCAGCAGCAGCAGCAACAGCAGCAATTACAACAACAACAGCAGCAGCTTTTGCAACAGCAACAGGCTCTTCAGCAAGGCAAGCTGGATCCAACTTCGTATGAGGCTTACCAGCAGCAAACCCAACAAAAGTATGCTCAATTGCAACAGAAATCCCAGCCAGCTGGTCGTGTAAACAGTTACAATCAGCACGCTGCTCAACAACCTCAACAATATAGTGCCCACCCACAGCCAGTTGCCAAACAGGCTGCTCCTGTCAACGGGAAGGGTGGTGCTGATGGTCACTCCTCGTCGTCAGCCAAAGGTTTTTTTGCCAAGCTTGGATGTTGCTAGTAGCGTTGTTGCAGCGGATGTCTAGCTCCGAAAATCCTTACGCCAGTCGAAGCTCCAGCTTCTCTCATCATTGGGTCACCGAGAAAGCTCATAGCGGTATTCCATCCTAAGGCTCAGATATTATCTTCTGTGTCTGAACATCCCATCGATGAGGAACCGAATCTGACACTCAAGACCGCAGTGTGTATTCTATAAATTTACGTGAATTTCAAAAACATCTCTAAAGGTGATAAAACCAATTGTGTCTTGACCAAGCTATTCTCATGGAGCTAAGCGACAGTCAGCTATCTCAAAGTTTCAAAACGGCTTTCATGATTCGTGATATCCTAATTTATACACTACTTACTATACGTGATTTGCCAACGAATGGTATCGCTCCGACAACCATTTCACTGCCGGTCTTTTTATTTCTTCTCACGGTGCTCCAAAATTTGCTTGACGGAGTCGATGATGCTGGTTTCTAAAGTCTTAAACTCCACACCAGTTAGCTTGCAGGTGAGATCAGTGTTGTAGTGGAAAGTCTTTTCCAAAACTTTCTTGTTGTCCTTAACATCACCAGAAGCAATCTTACCCTTCAGTTGTGGGAAGTTGGCGTTGACAACGTCCAAGATACGCTGAGGGTTGAATCTAGCGTTTTCGTAGTCTGGCTTTGTCAGACTTGCACCGCAGACGGGGAATAGTCTTTGACCACCAAGCTTTTCGTTACGCAATGGGAGCATATGCAATAGAGCCACGTCACGGACATCGGTAGCGATACCGCTTGGGGTGTCGAAAGGACCCTCGGAAGATGGGGTCGATTTGACGGCATTGTTGACAATCTCAGCAGAGGTGTTGAGAGTCTCGCCGTCCAAACCCCAGTCGAACATTTGTGGGCCCAAAACGTATGGAGGACACACAGCGGTGTATCTGAATTTGACCTGCGCTGCGTTTTCCTTCAAGAAGTCCCACGCCAATTTTTCAGCCAATTTCTTGGATGCGCAGTATGCGTCCAAAGAGTTGTCTTTGGCCTGGTCCCAAGTGATAGGATTCCAAGTGGCTTCTGTGTGCAAAGAGGTTTGGTTGTCATTGTTCATGATCGACGCAAACGAAGAGGTCTGCACAAAAGTTTTCACGTTGGAGCCCGATTGCACCACCGTTTCCAAAATGCTCTTGGTTCCCTCGGTAGAGGGCTTCAAATACGTTTCTTCGTTACTCTGGTCAGACCCGAATGAAAAGTTCGCAGCCATGTGCAATACATGCTGCAAGTCTGGGTATTTTTTGAACACTGCGTCGAATGCTCCTGGTTTGCTGATATCCGTTACCACCTCGATGTCCAGCTTAGCGTATGGATATAACTTGGCAAACGAGTCCTTGACTTTGGTCCCTTTACCTTCAGAGCGCACTGTTCCAATTACATGGTAGCCTTCCGACAACAAAATGTCCAAAACATGAAGCGCGATGTAGCCATTGCACCCAGAAACCAAAACTTTTTCGTCCGTCATTTCTTATTTTTCTTAGACTTCTTTGAGTTCTTTAAGTTCTTTGAGTTCTTCGAGTTCGCAGTCCTAAGTGAACGCAATTGATCAAAAGTAGTATCGATAAAGTAAGTTATCTGATCAAGATAACAGGACGACACTAAAGAGGAAAGAATTTGTTGCTGAGGTATTTCCCATTCTTTGATTCCAGTAAGTTGAACTCGTTGTCTTACTTATACTTCAGGGTGCGGTGCGGCTAGAGCAAAACTGTGAACCCGAGCCGTACGCTGTTGACAGAGGAAGTTTTTTCGACCAAGTTCTTTGCATAGTTGTAAGAATGATGATGTATTGCAGACGGGAAAGATAGTTCTTAGTAATGGATAAGAGACGGAGGTCTCGACGGACTGGACGGAAGTGAGTGAAAATGAGAGGGTGTTTGGAACATCAGCGTGGAAGAAAACTTCTTGTTAGTAATCGTTTTGACGACGACAATGGCAACGATGGTGTAGAGATTTAGCCATAATTAGAATCAAGGTTCTAGATGGCCACGCACCAGGAAAAGGGTGTCTAGATCGTGGATCTCGGTGTGGACCCTGGCAGAGGGCTCTAGTAGTGCTGGAACAGCGTTTTTGACGGAAGATGAGGCTTCCCGGTATAGGAAAAGCTTTTCTTTGGAACTAGACGTAGCGTGGGAATTGGTGTTGTTAACGTTCAGTTGCGAAGCCACGGAGTCGAGAGCTCGACCCACGGGCCACATCTTGTTCAAAAATAGCTGGTGACGAGGCTGGTTTTCGGTTTCTTGGTCGCTCACAACGTAGCAATAGACGTAGACGCGGTTCCCCACAGGAACTTGACTATCTCCCACAGCCGATTTTTTGAGTTTGGCCAGCTCCACCAAGCGGGCTGCAGGCCCCTGGGGTTTTTTGGCTCCATTGGATGAAAGAGACGACGACGACGACAACGTTGTCGTCGTTGTCGTCGTCCGTCGTTGGAAAAAAGACTTGAGCTTGGCTAATGCACTGGTCTGTCCTGCCATTTCCAGTCTTTCTCGTACGCTTCTGTTGCGGCCCAGATCCGAACCAGTGCCTGTGTTGGTGCTGTTTTGTTGTACGCGAACATGAGCCTTTTCTGGCAATAAGGATTTGAAATACTGGCCTCCGTTGTCGTGCTGAGTCAATGGGGATGAGATCAATGTCTGATCCTGCTTTTCACTTTCGTTCCACGTCTCGCACTGGTGCTGTTGACGTGTTCGATGGGCCCCACAAAAATCGCCCTTGCAGTACTCGCAATGGAACGGTAGGAAGTCAAGCTGTCTGCAAAACTTGCAATGGGTTCCCACATCCAACATTCCGGTCTCTGCGTCGGTCATCTTGAGTAGTTTGTTATGTAGTCTTCTATGTATTGTATCTCGGCTAAAAAGAGTCGTCTGAAGATCGCACTTATATGAGAGTTTCGAGGTCTACAGATACTAATGGTAATACTTATAACTGTTTCTCGGTGGCGTTAAGATGATTTGGGTGGCGTTGGTATCGCTATCCTCGAGTTCAGTTTAGAGCTTCTGGTAGATTCTGAGTTTGGCTAAGTCGAGAGTCATCGCGTGTCACGTGACGCGCTTGAAACTTTAATTAATAATAAATTTAGTAAGAAGATGAGACAATACGCCACGAAGACATGCTGATTATAAGTAAATGGACCAGTCCATCTGTAGCGTTGATTGGACTTGAACGTTTTGGTTCTATAGTTGTTATTCTGATGAAAGGCTCTTGGTCCTGTGATATAGTATCACTATGTACGAAGACGTCACCATCACGTTAGATCGATCACTTCGGGTTCCGAGATGCCCTGTGTTCGACCGTTTTTCTGCTTAGCGCTGGGTTCAGGATCTTTCATGTTCGGCACCGGTATCGATGGTGAAGAAGAAGATGACGACGACGACGACGACGCGGGATGTTCATCTTCAAGATCTATAAACTCGAGTTCTCGAAATTCGGGCTCTGCGTCGACTTTTGGCCTGCCGCACCAAACAGCATCCTGAGCACGCTGCTCAGCAGCCAATGCGGCCATTTCTCGAGGTGAACGTCGCACCTGTGGATTCAAAGAACCCATTCTCCAGGAGGAGCCGGCATTGTTTCCGCCCAAGACGTTTCCGCTGCCTGAAGTTTGCCCCGGTATTTTGGCCCGGGGCCGGGCGCCCAGCTTCCGGCCACGTCCCACAAAACCGTCAAACAGCCCCCGTTGCTCGATGACCCACTGCCTGGCCATAAGCTCGTCCAGTTTTTTGTAGAAAGTTGCATTATGCGGCCCACAAAGGTTGTGCGTTAATTCATGCAGCATGGTTCCCAGAATCTGTTCCCGCGATAAAAATTGGTCCTCGTCAAAGGGTTGTCGGAGCCTGAGCATGATTTTGGCACCGCCGTTGACATTCATACCCAGTAATCGCTTGTTTTTGGGGTAAAATTCTACCAATTGGCCCACTTTGAAGCTATTTTCCCGCATCAGCAGCGAAACCTGATGCGCAATGTCTTGCAGGATCGCCAAGGCATAGTCACGGTTCGGCTTGCGCTGCATAACGGCGAGCTTACCGATGTGTGCATTTTTTTGAATAACCATTATTCATTGTTCTAGCTCAGCACAAATCCATGGATGGAACAGTCAAGAAAGAAAGGTGACCAGCACTGAAAGAAACAGGTTGACCGGGTGTTGATAACTTGTGTGTGTGTTTGCGAAGTAGGACACTAATCGATATTCTATTTTGTCCCAACAACCATCAATGGAAATCTTGTTAATGGGAGTGATCACGTGATACAAGATTCTCGTCAGCGATCGTCAACGAGATCAGTGGGTTTGAGGAACTTTAGATCAAAATCTTAGTTTGTCTTGACGCCCGCTTGTGTTGATTCGACCTGAATCAATACAATCGGACGTTTTCGAGCTTCAAATAGGGTTCAAAGAGTTATTATTAATGTCCGTTTCGAATTCCCCTTAAGCTGGTAGTTTTCAGGTGTGGTATCCCTTCACGATAGCAGGTAAACGAGAATGCCTAGCTCTCTGCATATATTGTTGATTTTAATTGCATTTGGTTTTGGTTGGTGACCTCTTCAGAATTGTCATCGATGTGATCTTAGCATTAGATGTGTGCAGACATGAATGAAGAAAAAATCTGAAAGTCCTGCCATCATTTCTGAAGTACAGAAAGGTACATGTTTCGTCGTTCAAGTGACTGCCCCTGGAAAACAAATCAGCCCTTTAAAGATTTACCAATGGTCAAATCAGGAAAGCCGGAAAACCCCTGAAACCCTTGCGCGAAACCTTCACGGTTTCATTATTGGTTTCCCGAAACCAATCAAAGCTGACAAGATGCCGGTTCGTCCACAGGTTTGAGAACTCGATGACAGAGTTTTTTCTTACTTAGCGCTTATCTCGCGTTGTAGCCGAGTTATTGGAACACTTGGAAAGGAGAGATGAGCGCCGTACCACCAACACCTTCCATATCCAGCATTAGGGAAGTCTGGTCCTCAAATTGACTAACCGCTGACGTCGAAACAGCTCATTGTTACTCAAAACATGCTTCGAAGTTGAAGTAAAGGTCTTACAGACTGTCAATAGATTATTATAATTACATTACGCCTTAATGCCCTTGTGTCGCGTTTTATATCTTTATGTACGAAAGGTCACGTTTCTGTAACTATCTACGGAATCTGAAATTTGAAGAGAGAACGTATTGCAGACGCTTGAAAGTTACGAATGTCTTACTGTAGACTGTTTCTTCAAAATTTATCAAATTGATATACCTAAAAGCTATCAATTCAGCTCTCGTGGGCCGAAATAAAAACCTAACCTGTCGTTTCACCAAGACAACTTAGTAAAAAGAGTTTCAAATCGAGAATAAGCTGTATCAGTAAAAACGAGAGCATCTCAATTGCCATGCGAGCAATCATTTAAAGCCATTAAAGCTCTTGAAAGATCGGAAATGAACACTACCAAAATTATTTACACGTGACACCCACAATCATGTGACCATAAATTGGAATAGGTAAAATTCCGACTATCCATAATTCACCATATTTCACCATATTTAAAGCCTATATAGCATAACGTACCATTAAAACGTTGAAGCTTGAGAAGGCCTCCAGAAAACATAAAGACGCCCCAAAAGCTTGACAATGGCAAGAAAATCAGCTCCGATAGATGCTAACGGCCACAGTCGCAGTATCGAGTCTATCAACAGCTTAACGCGACCACAATTGTATGGTATTTACGACTCAGACATCACTATAAGCGAGGATAACGAAGTATACGAAGAAGCGAAAAAATCCCTGGGACGGTTTCCCAAATCTTGGACAAGAAGCAATGGCAAGACAAAGCATCAGTCAGGCCTCCAAAAAACGCTGCGTTTGTTGTGGTCTTTGTCGCTGCTGGGGGTTGCTGGGATTTCGTATAACGAGCTCAGTAAGCAATTGCATGACAATCACGAACTGCATGCAAAGCTGGCTTCAAGGCCATTAGCTTTGGGTGTGGAAATTTGCAGAACGCTGAGTTTCGGAATGGTGCCAACATGGCTGGCGTACGCGCTGGAAGGTGTGCTTTTTGGCTCTTTGCTACCTCTTATCGAGACTTTGGGAGGCCACCCAGTGCAAACAACGACTTTTGCCTCATTCTTGCGCTGTGTCAACGCAACTTTGGGCGTTGCATTTGGTATTCGCAAAATAGAATGGAGCTCCTCATTGCAGGCTAGCGGTGCATGGTTTCTGCTCAACATTGTTCTTTGGATGTTTTTCGATGGGACGCCGTCAATGCTGCTGGGATGTTCGGGCATTGGCACAATAGCCACTATCACCTGTTACCGCGACGTGACGGACTATTCACAAATGTTATATTTCATGGACTTTTATTTCTTGGGTCTACTACTATTTGGAAAGCTTGGAAGGTATCTCTACGGACAAAAAGCTTAGAAAAAAAAAAAACCAA